CCTGTCCATCCGGACTAAATTGTGCAGGAATTGTAATAGGTAGTGAATGGGGCTAATGTAATATTTACCGCATCATCCTTCAAGTACCAGTACAACTACTACCACGACCACCACCACAGTAGCTAAAATAATGTCACTGCTATCTGTTTTACCATCGGAGTAGACAGGGAGTCGTGAGCCAGAAGATTTGGCGCCACATGGCTAGTGCTGTCGCCACGGACTGGTCAGGTTAGGATGTATGATTTCGCTCCCCGACAGAAGAATGCCATAACCTTACCGGCCGTCTTCACATGAGAGCACTACTACGGCTGCTGCTACTTTGAGTGGGTAAAGCAGTTACTGTGACTTAAAGCTCTCTCAGTAATCAGTTTCCCCCCCCCCCTCCCCAAATTCACCGACTACTCTTTCCCTCATCGGAGTAGTTGAGAGGGGGAAAAAACCAATTGAAAAGCAATTAAAAACAGGAAAAATACACCAGAATTAGGAAATGAGCGCTATGGTAAACAGCACAGCTTAAAATTCCAACGCAGATGAAATAATTAAATCTAAATGAAAATAAATGGAAAGCTATGAAATTTCAGCGTAACCATGCAATCGAAAAGTTTAAAATGAAATCATAAGTATGTGAAATGGTCAAATTTAATTATCAACTGGTTTATCCACAAACCTGTCCTTGTTTTTTTTTTTTAAATATATATCATTTGGGCCATATGGCTAGTGCTGTCGCCACGACAGTGCAGGTGAGGATTTTATTTTAGCCCTAAGTAAAAAAAAAAAAAAAAAAAACTACTGCGGATTCGAACCCTGGTCTCCCTCTCAAGAGCCAAGTGTTCTAACCATTCGACCAAGCAACCACTCGATCAGAATAACGAAAAGAGAACTTAACTATTTTAGATGTGTGTCCCTACTGCAGTGTCCCGATTATAACACAACTCAAAACAGCAGGCAATTGTTTTCTCATAGACAGATATTCTAAATATATTAATGAAATGGCACAACAAAAGAAATCGCACGTGTCTAACCCGGTTAATGTCGCAGTCAATGTCTGCGCAGATGTCGAGATAGTCCCTGATGCCCCCCACCCTCTTTTTCCCTACCAATCCATCGGCTACTTTTCAACTCATCGAAGGATGTTTGAAAAAAAAAAAAACAGAAAATAGAAATCGTGTCTAATATAGTTATTGTGGCAATCACTGCCTGCACAGATATAGATATAGTCTTGTTTGCTGTACCACGACCTACTCTATGAGAAGAGGTGTTGGCTGCACGGCGCATGCGCAATTACTAACGTGGCTATAATTAGAAATCACTAAAATTATAAATATTAGTTTTGAATATTATGGCTTAAATTGTGGTCACCTATCTCTAACAGTGACAGGTTGAATTTCAAACCATGATGGTTCAACATCCGGTATCAAAACAAACATATCCTGAAAATTTCAGCTAAATCGGTTCAGTAGTTTCCGAGTCTATAGGGGGCAAACAAACAAAAAAACATTGATTTTTATATATATAGATAAGTAGCAGTACTATTTTCCTAAAGTGAAAAGGACGATTTTAAAAGGCAGTTTGTCCATCTAACCAATCAGTCGTCCCGGTAATTAGATGTCCGACTGTCTGTTTTCACTGTTCGTCTGTCAGATTGAACCATAAGTGATGGTACACTTAATGTCTTGTCAACTGTGCTTCAATGGGGTTATTTTACTATCGTACAAACTAGTCGTCACTTCAGCTGGCTGTCCAACCGACTGTTTCTCCTAATTATCTGCCTGGTTGTATCATAAGTGACAGTGAATTTTCACAAAGTAAAAATTACAATTTTTAATAGCAGTCTGTCCATCTAACCAACCAGTCATCCCTTCAACGAACTGTCCCACTGTCTGTTTCCCCTGATCTTCTGCCGGCTATACCATAAGTGACTATGCATTTACAAGTCTTGTCATTTCATGGTGGTTTTCTTACTACTTTACAAAATGTTGACAAGACCAATGTTTTAAAATTTAAAAATATTTAAAGGCGGGGTGCAGGGGCTGTGCCCTAACCAGAGGTTGCTGTGTAATTAAATATGTGCAAGTACAGAGACACTAGATGTTACTACAACAGCAGAAGTATGTACATAATTATATGAAATTACTAATGTAATTACTAAGTATGTTCTTAGACAGACACATGTAATTTAAAAAAAAAACATGTGCACTTACACACGTAGTTAGAAAAACAAAAAAACTCAAATAAAAACATGCAGCTGCAACACATGAAGTCACATAATACCTGCAATTATAACAATTCATGAGCTAAAGGCATGTAATTACAACTCATGAACATAAAGAAACCATGCAGATACAACAACAAATTAGCTGGAAAACAGAAATACAAAACATATTGACTTGAATAAACACATGCAATTGCAACAGCACATGAACTTGAAGGAGCGCATGAAGAAAAAAAATTTCACTAACATCTGAACACTTATAAACACATGTAATTACAACATGTGAACACATAAACATGTAATTATAACAAGTCAACACATGAACATGTAATTACAACATGCAAACACATAAACATGTAATTATAACGAGTAAACACATAAAAACATATGTAATTGCAACATGTGAACACATATAAACACAAGTAATTGCAGCATGTGTAAACATATAAACACATGTGATTACAATGCAAGCCACACATAAATATATGTATTTACAACATGTGAACACATAAACATGCAATTAGAATATGTGAACACATATAATTACAAGGCACACATAAAAACATGTAATTACAACATGTTAATACATATATACACACGCAATTACAACATGTGAAAACATATAAACACAAGTAATTACAACACATGAACATGTAAAAAAAAACATGTTATCACAACATGTGAACACACATAAACACATGTAATTTGAAAATGTGAACACATATAAAACTTGTAATTACAACATGTGACACAGGTATTTACAACACACTTTAAAAAATGTGTTGGGTATCCTTAACAAGTCATTGCAGAACCAATCCCAGCATTTCTTGTGAGGCTGTTGTTGTTTTTCTAGTAGTTTGCCACTGCCTTCTGGATGGTCAATTCTCGATACTACAAGACCCGCAGCTGGGATCAAACCCAGCACCATGAAGCACATTCACAACGCTAAAGCATCAGACAATTACAACACAAGACTCACATCAACACATGATTATCAGCATACTATGTTTAGATTGAAAGGAAGATTTATAACAAATGCACAATGCTTTCAAATGATACTACCTTATCTACCTTGAATGAGGAATAAGAAGGAATAGTTTTTTTTTTTTTTTTTAGTTTTCCTTTCTTCCATGTATATTAGCTGAAAATGATACTGAAGAAACTAAAGTCACAGTCAAGAAAAACAAATTGACTGCTCTGGGTTTAATCCCATGTGGCTTGGTCTCTCACCACGAAATAACTAGCCACACGCCCTAGCATCACACAAAACATGAACTCTGCAGCTCATGCAATCAGCCCCCAGGTATCTCCTAAATAAAGCGCACCTATAAGACTTAATGAAAACGGCCATGAAACAAACCCAGAATTCACAGCACAAAGCAAATAGTTTGACCACTTTACCACACAGACCCCCCCCCCCCCCCCCACCCCCCACAAAAACAAATAACAGTCTATTAATATTAGTGATTCAAAGGAATGTTTCTCCGTTGTGAATTTGTATAAAGAAGACACAAAGATTGCACAGTTTAACTCTTAGCATATTTTGCTATATCTTGTCAGGTGCATTTTTATCATTGTATGAACCTGATGAGAGACAGCAAAATATGCCAGGCAATAAATTGTGCAATAATAAATAGTGCAATCTATTGTTTATGTCTTCTTTGTTCAAATATGAGTTTTCATTATCATCATTAATTTCCACTTTTGCCAGACTGGCTGGCTCTGCACAACTTGGTGGAATACTGATACATGATAAGGCAGATGTAGTTAGTGCCTTATGGGAGAGCGTGTACAGTTCAGAGGGGCAGATGGATCAGCACAGTCTGGTGAGATTGATGCAGCGGGGAGGGACGAGAGGTTCTGGCAGATGCTTGAGGCTCAGAGGAAAGGCAAGACGGACGTTTAATCAGAATGCTACTGGCACCATTAGTATCGGAACTCTTCGCTGGCTGCTGAAGATGGGGATAGAGCGCTTATGGGAATACCCCGAGTGCTGTGATGTCGGTTCTCGAATCAAATCAATCCATTTTTGCCATTAAGTGTCATCTGGAGAAAGTTTGCTTATCAGCAGCAAAGGCTACTGTCATTCTGTGATGATGTAGCTCTTTAATAATGTCATCAATCAATCTTCTCATAGGGACACTTTTTGCTTTCACATTAGATCTTTTTATGTGTAGCGCTTGCGTAAGTAGCTGTTTTTGGCTGCAATGATTACCAAACCATCTGATCTTTTGTTTCTCAAAGAATCTGCTGGGTGTTGTTCCCACTGTCTGTCTGATAATATCATTTCTAACTTTGTTTTGGGATGGTTAAATTGGTGGCTTTTCTCAGGCATTTTATCTCAAAGATGTTAATTTTTCATAGGTCAGTCTCTGATAATGTCCAAGTTTGGCACTGGTAGCACAGTATTGGCATGAATATGCTATTTATAATCTGTTTCTTGGCGCTCATACTTAAGTTTAGATGTCTTAATAACAGTGTCAGTTGTATTTACGTGCACCTGCTCATTGCATCCTGTTTCTTCTTCCTGATCTATTCTTACATCCTCTGAGAATATACTTATTAGACATTTAAATTCTTCAGTTTGCTTCAGACAAGTACCAGTTAACCCAATATGTAGCGGACGGAATTTTACTGACCTGATTAGTTATTATCAGCATAAAATAAAGCCTCTATCCAAAAGATTGAAGAAGCCTGTTTCAGGATACAAAAAACACACTGGCAGAGACGGAGTTTTTAGAGAGAGACTGGCACTTAATGATGATGATGGCAACATACAAATACTCACAATCCACATTCTTGACTTCATCCAATCTGGCGTAGTCACTAAAGTTTTGAATCCTTGCAATGTCCGCATCAATTCAGAGTGTCCAACATTTTGTTCAAACCCTCTCAGAAGTCTGTTGGAATTCGCATGCATTACAACATAATACAATCAAACCACAGAGATAAGACAATTATTACAACATGACATGACCAAACCAGAGATGAGCCAATCATTACAACATAATACAATCAAACCACAGAGATAAGACAATTATTACAACATGACATGACCAAACAAGAGATGAGCCAATCATTACAACATGATACAATCAAACCACAGAGATAAGACAATAATTACAACATGACATGATCAAACAAGAGATGAGCCAATCATTACAACATGATACAATCAAACCACAGAGATAAGACAATTATTACAACATCACAAACACTTAAGTACTAGAAAGAGCAGGTACTACAACAGTCTTTTCCATGCTTAGTCTACGAAGGCTCAGGTGGCTGGGTCACACCTGGAGGATGGAGGATGGCAGAGTTCCTAAGGACATCATTTATGGTGAATTAAAGACAGGAAGAAGATGTCGAGGCTGACCTCTAATACGGTATAAAGATGTGTGCAAGCGGGACAATAATAATACAGGTATTGAGGTGGACTCATGGGAACAAAATGCCATGGACCGTGTTGTGTGGAAAGGGCATATCAGGAAGGGAATGAGAGCGAAAGAAGAAATGACTGCAGAAAGGATGAGAGCTGAGCGTCTGAAAAGAAATGGATTAAACACAAATGTTGAAAAGAATGGTCCTGAAATTCCATGCTATCATTGTGGAATACTTTTCTTGACATGGGCCATCACACGCGCCATCGCCACGGGCTGAGAGTCTCATGTCTGCTCAAAACATAATATAACACTATCATCACTATATAACACTATAGAACTGGTAATAAACAACGTAATGTCTCAGAAAATGAACCAATGTGGACATATTTGGCATCAGAGTGACCTGAGAAATAACACTAATGGACCAATGATTCCTGAAAGAAAAGATCAGGGTCAACCAGCCAATATGATGATGAGAGATACAAGACATTAAAGACTCACTTAACGTGAAAATGCATGGAGCAGGGGAAACCAGAAGTGGATTAAGAATCTTTAAGATGGACAATGATGAGTGACATATAGTTTAAAAATGTATTTAATCGAACAGAGATATAGTTTTTTAGAAGAATGATGGAACACTATTGACAGACAAAAAACTGATAATGAAGATGTGCACAGTAATCAAGACATGCATAGAAAACCAATGTCAACCAAGCAAAAGACTTTAAGTATCTAGGAGGAAAATATCATCCAATGGAAAACTGGAAGTGGAGTCAGAAAACAGATGTATGTTTATTGTTTATTCAACGGATCAACATCAACATTGTACTTATAGCTCAAACCTGAGTCTGAAGAATCTCATCGCAGGCACTAACTTCGTTGCACCAGCGAGGAATACTTTGAGTAGATTTTTTAACTTGAAATTTTGCCTGGGCATCACTGTTAGGCTACTCTTTTTTTATTTCCAACTGCCAAAGGATTTTTTACGTGCGTAGCAATACACATGGGCGTCCCATCTTACTACCTAGAGATCAGCAGGGGAAATTACTAGTAGAAGTCCACATGAAAAAAATCCCAGCCTTCAACAGCACTGGAGGTGGACACCATACCTTGAGACCACTCAACCCCCTCAACACAGACGTAATAAATCAAATCAAATCACTGGACAAATGTCACCAATTTTGCAGAACAAACATGTAACAACTGATAATAAAAGAGCTCTATTCAATACAGTATTTTTTTTACCAACTTTGTGTTACCAGTGACAAAGTGAAAAAAAAAAAAAAAAAAAGAACAGATACAAATCTAAACAGAAATGAAATGTCTACGATAAATCCTAAATGTAACTAGGAGAGACAGTGTCAGAATTGACGATATCAGGAAAGAAAGTGGGACAGAACTAGCACTAAACTACATCAAGAGGCAATGTAACAAGACTACTACCAGATAGTATCGCCACAAAGAGCCCTGTCACTCAGACATAAAGGAAGCACAGCTAGAGTCTGACCATGCAAGCGATGAATAAATGGAATATTTGAGACTATAAATACAAACATCTGGGGAGCACATATCAAGATTCACACTCAAGGCCTCTTCAAAACCTGATGCTTAAAGGCAGACCAGGACTTGAGCAGAAGATGTCTTGAGAGAAATTAACTGTTTACTTGCATCAGAAATAGAAAATTAAAATTATTTTGGTACATGTGAGAAGGAGAAATGGAAGTATGTATTAAAAGGTAATGTCAATGGCCAATGTGGCAATGGGATGACTGTAGGTGATGATAGTCAATGACGGTCTAGCACTTAGATGACCACTTAGCAACTACACCAGTGTTTCCCAAACTTTTCTTAGTCGTGACGCCTTTTTTTCAATTAACATTTGTCCACGGCGCCCTAACCTAAGTAAAAGTATGACTATTTGTATGTAAGAGATAAAAAAAAAAAAAAAAACTCATGTATCTTCAAATATTTTGCGGCGCCCCTGTAACAAATTTGCGGCTCCCCGGGCGCCGCGGCACACCGTTTTGGGAACCATTGGACTGCACATTTAACAGTCACAGGAGTTTCCGACAAGGACATCATGACCCATGAGTGAAGACTCCAGAATTCAAGAAGAGTTCACAGATCCCATGGTGAATGGTGGGCTGGACAAAATGGACAGAGCAATGGGTTTTCGAGGAGTTGTGCATAGACGCTGTGTTTTGACAGCCAGGATTTTAGTAATTGATATGAGTTAGCCATGCAGTGACAGTTTAGGTAATAGATAGTTTGTTACCATTTATTAGGTCAACGGTGTTCAAATTTAAGCGTGATTAGGAATAGGTAGTTTAACTTGGTGTTCTGTAGAGGTCGTTCAATGTGATTAGTGTTAACTGGTTAAAGTACTGTTTACCTAATTAATAATCCATATATAAGTGAGGTGGTTCAAAAAGGGGCTTTGTCTGTAAAAAAAAAAAAAAAGAAAAACATGATGATGTCATGGTGGCGTAGTCTATCCGGTCACACTAACCACAGGGTGCACTCGCGCACCAGTCATGGTGTATCTTGGAGAGGTGCAGCAAAGAGCTTGGATCAGAGGATGTTGATTCAGACCAGTTAATGCCTGCAACAACTGGATGGCCAGTGTGTGAGTTGCAATTTTAAAGCACTCCGGCCATCTGGGGATAGGTTGTAATTCGAATCACCTCTAGGGCAAACTAGATTTGTTTTGTTGACTACTGTTTTCTGTAACGTTAAAGGCCAATGTGTGTGTTCTGATGGTGTCGAGCTGGTTTGTGTTTGGGATAGATTTAATTGTCATAGAGCTGCCATTAGGTCGATAAGTAGGTTTCTGACCGGGAAAGAGACACAGACAGGGACTAAGAGAGAGTGTCAGTCAATTTAGCATCACAACATAGAGGAATATCTTACATTAAAAAATGGCAGTACAGAAAATAATAGGCAGATTACCAATATCACAGCAAGTAGAAGAAGAATCAAACCTTTGACACTCTCTGTCTATATCCAGTTTTGATCTCCAAGTATGCAACTCTAGTGTCTCATTAGCAGCTGCTCGTCTCTTATATTCAGTTCTCAGTTCGAAAAAGTCTGCAGTGTGACAACGTGTGTGACCATCTGTGAGCTGCCCAAGCTCAAAGCAATCTTTACACACCTGTCACATCCATTTTAAATGATAAATCAGTCAACAAAACTAGTGAAAAATATAATAAATCTTATAAATAATACATCCATTGTTTGAACATATAATAAGATCTAAGAGCCGATCGAAGACTATACAAGATGGTTTGGTACAAGGCAAAAGAAGTTGGGGCAAGCCATGAAAGACAACAATCCTAAATTTAGCTGGCTAGATAAGCTTCACATACAAAAACACAAGGCCATTCTCAACTGCCATAAGAATAAGACAAGCTCCCAAGAACATAAAAACAAAGTCTGAAGAAGTAAATACCAAGAAATGTGAGCTAGTGTATTATAAAATCATCACCATCAAATGCCTTGCCAAGTGGCATGTGCTATCCTGCCTCTCCACAATCTGGGATCAACATGCATCATTTCGTGTGTTGACACCCCTCCATGCCACGACAAAAGGCGGTCAAGAATATTTTCACAATGTCTTCCTCTGTCTTTCATTCCACAAATCTCTCCAGTGGTCACAACATGTTCCAGTTTCCCTCTTCTCATAACGTGACCCAATAAAATACAAAACAAAAAAAAATACCATTTTAAATTCTCGCAAAAATAACAATTTACTTTCAACAAGTAAGATATACAGGAAAAAAAATTGAGAAGAGGTCAATAAAATTAAAGCTGTGAGGATCAATTCCATTGCACTTGGTTTTATTTCACATGGCTAGGCCTCCCTCCACAGAATGGCTAGCTACACACTAGAAGCATTAAGGAGAGTAGCTTCAGGATGATCGCCAGGGTATTCCATAAAAAGAGCACTCATAAAATGAATTACAAATTTAATTAATAAAGAAGCCAATTTATTAAAAATAATTACCAATAATCTATGAAATGCTCTTCCTTCTTAAAAAAAAAATTCCTAACAATCTACGAAAACAATCAATAAATGCTCTCCCTTCTATAAAAACAATTCCCAACAACCTATGAAAATGATCAATAAATGCTCTCCCTGCTATAAAAACAATTACCAACAATCTATGAATACAATCAATAAATGCTCTCGTTTCCATTAAAAAAAACACAAGCCACCATGGTGTAGGGGCTAGATGCACAGCTGCAGATCGGAAGGTTGTAGGTGTGGGTCCTGACATAGCCCGACTTTAAAAAAAAATAAAAAGACTGTGTCTACCAGGTGGATGCAGACTTGAGTGAGCACCAGATGATGTAGTCCTAGGAAGTAAAAGGCAGCAAAGCATGATGCCAACCACATCACCCACCAAGTGCCGATTGGTCCATAAAAGTATAGTTCTAGGCCTACATGTCCAATATATCCTGAAGGCATAGAAGAGTGTCCTTTACTTCTAAACAGTGTCCATAAAGTCATGGTGCATTTACTTCCTGTGACGGGTCAAAAGTGCGCCATGACTTTATGGACACATTGTATAAAAAACAATTACCCACAATTCATGAATTTAGTCAACAAATGCTCCCACTTCCACACAAGGAATTTCCAGCAATGCTATACCTTGTGCCAGTCACCATCAGGATCAGGTTTAGCTAGTGAGTTCAGGCGGCGACTAAACTGTAAACATGAGCTGCAGAATATTCCTCCACATCTGCTTGAGAACAAGAACATCAAGTAATTCATAACTAAAACTTAAATACAACAACAACATAAAAGGGAGGTAAAAGGAAACACACAATTTAATTTTTCAAGCATGGTTACAGGCTAAAATGATACTACTTTCAGCAAAGTAAGTATATCACAGCTATACAACAGACATATATTTTATAAATAAATCAGTATAAAGCATACATTAAGCAACATTATCTAGATAAAAAGTAAAATAAGGTTATGATTTTCCTATCGTAAGCTGTAGTCCATAAGTATATTTACACCATGTTTATGCATGTTACTGTCGTCCCCATGAGGGATACAATTTTTAGTTATTTTGAAGTCCCACCCTGGCTTTTGACGGGGGCCCTAAATACAGCCGGTCCTTAAATATGGCATAATGGCTGAACGGGGTTTCTGGGATCCTCATCTGCATGGTGGCACTTTGTGTCACCAGGTGTTTATCGCTTGTGTGATGTCCTGGTGGGGTACAACTAACCTACCTACCTACACCATGTTTATAAATATATGAATCATCATCATGTGTCTTACCAACTGGTGCAGGCTATCGTGATCTCCCCATCTTGTGATCCTGCATGTATCAGTTTATGTGCTGACATCCCTCAATGCCATAGCTAAATGCTGTCAACAATCTTCCCTTGTCATCTTCCTCTGTCTGTATTTCAGCAAGTATGTTCTGCTGTCATAACATGTTCCAGTTTTTATTTTCTTATAATCTATCTATGAATATCATCTTCTTGTTTTTGTTACTGACACATAAGGTTATTACAAGTGATTCCCAGTGCTGCCAGTCTGCTGCTCTTCTGCCCATGGGATCCCACGCCTGTTTAGCTTAAATTCCTGTGTTTCTCTTTTTACCAGCCTCCTCCAGGTTTACTTACATCATCCATGACTGCTTATTCCTTCTACCATTCACCAGAGAGCTGCCACAACAGAAGTGTCATGTAGCATTCTGCAAACCAAGCTATTCCCATTTTCTTCCTTTTGCCAGCAATACATATTTGATTTTTCTCCTCAGTTCTTCATCTGCGATCTTGTCCTAAAAAGAGTTTGTTCGTTCGTTCATTTCTATATCATGGATGGAATCCAGTCCAGTACCTTTGGCCTCTCTCAACAACATTAGTTATAGGATTTCTCTTAGATGTCTACATTTCCTCAGTCAATATGTTTCCATTTACAGTGCCTGATAGTGATTATCTGCCTTTTTTTCCTTAAGATTTGATCAATATATTGTTATATTCTTTATTTTATAACCGTTGATACAAGTGGCTGTATTTCGAATTTCTTCTCCTTAAGATATGCTCAGTATATTGCTATATTCTTTATTTAATAACCGTTGATACAAGTGGCCGTTTCTCTAATTTGTTTTCCTTAAGATATGCTCAATATATTGCTATATTATTTATTTATTTATTATAACTTATACAAGTGGCAATTTTTCTTATTTCTTCACCTTAAGTTCATCCCATTTAATAAATGTACAGTATACAGCTACATATATTAACAGGACGTACCTGCGACAGTGGTGATGCCTTTCTAAGGTTGTAAACTGTTTACGGCACAACTGGTTGAAACAAGTTGTCTTATTATCGAACAGCTTCCAATGGTGTTTGGTAATATCTGGAGTATTATAAAAAAAGCATGATTTTGACTAATTAATTGGCACAAAGATTATTTTTGGCAGCTGCAGTAGTAATTCTCACATGCTATACAGAGTCAGTTTTAACACATGATTGTCAATCCTGGACAATTAATAAACAAGCCAAACAATTTCTTTACACCTCAGAGGGATCCTTATAATTCCTTGGTGAACTTTAAAAAAAAAAGAGGTCTTGAGGATAACTTATCACAAACATCAGAAATAGTAATCATTTTTGGTCATGTAATGAGAAGTAGGAAACTGGAACATGTGACTGCAGGAAAGATCTGTGGAAAAAGTAATAGAGGAAGACAACACGAGACAATTTTTTTACAGCCTTCTGTCATGGCATGGAGTGGTGTTAACACACAAACTTATACCTGCTGTTAAAGAGGGTGATTGCTCACGCCAGTCGGTAAAAGCACTTGATGATGATGAGTAGTGCAGTGGGTGGCTAGCATGCCTGCCTGCTAACCTGTGATCATCTGCTCAAATTCCAATGGACCCAAGTAAATAAAGCAGACATGCTTCAATAAAGCTGTCCCTAATGGTAACTTTATAAATTTAAAGGGGTTTATAGAGCACAACAGTCCTATAGCTTTGACTTATACAAATGTTGCCTGGCTCATATTATGGTCACTGTTGTGTCGAGCCATCAGGTAGTTGGCTCCAGAAAACAAAAACATTCCAACTATAACAAGAGATTTATTTTATGTGTAGAAACTTCCCAAACCAAAACAAAGGGCTGCATCTCCAGCCAGGGAGATGTATTTTTTGTATGAGAAAATCCAGCTCTATATGGATTTAAACCCAAACCTTTGGATTTGCAGGCGAGCGTCTAGCCACTATACCACAGTAGCTGGGTTCTTAATGTTTTCTTCAGGAAATATAATGTAAATGAACTCTTAGCATATTCTCAGAGAAACATAATCTTACAGAGTTTGTAGTAACTTCTGAAGAAGTATCACATTATAGATATTTTAGTAAGGTCATAAGAAATTACCATAATATTACAGAGATACCAGTGTATTGTTCAATATATTCCTAACTGGGTAATGCAAAATACTTTTTCCCCAGAAACTAGCATGAAGTAAAAATATAGAAGTAAGTAAGGAAAAGATGCTAGTACTGAACAGGATACATAATGAGAAAACCTGATAATGATGTGCTTTCATTGGAAGCCACAGAATGAATAAGATACAGACAGCTGTAAACACACATGGAAAAGAGACATAGAGAGAGAAAGGTAAATAATATAAGGAGGATATGGAAGGAAATGCAGGAGATGGTAACAGATGGATGACAGGATATGAGATGGTTGGCAGTCTATGCCTCAAAAGGAAATAAGGTATACCAGCTAATGTGCTTTTTTTTTTTAACCAACCAACAGCTTGATAACCTATGGCAAAGAACTAGTAAATTGGTTAAAGCAAAAATCTTGAGATCATGCATTTTTCCTGTGGCAACTTACGGTTGTGAGCCATGGACTCTCACTCAGTCACTGATGAAAAAGATTGGAGCTTTTGAATTGAAATGTTATAGAAAAATTCTTAGAATACCATGGATCAGGAAGAGGAAAAACATGGACATTCTGAACGAGTTGAACATCAAGAAGAACTGGCTCATAAACAGCATCCTGTCCCAAAAGTTGAAGTATTTTGGCCACATCAAGTGTCATGGTGGCTTGGAGAAGATGGTGATGGAGGGTGCTGTTTGTGGAAGGCGAGATGGGGGTCAACCACCGCAAAAATGGATACAGGATATTGAAGATGTTTTGGCACTGAAAGCACATGGGGCCAGAGGGTACTTTGCTAGGGAAGGGGTACTTTCAGGCCTGCCATGAAGAGAGCGACATTTTTGTAAAGGACTTGCTGATTGAAGATGACTACCCAACAATCATTGTCTGTGAAAAAAAATTACAATTTACTGGGCACAACATGAGAATAAACAGACAGAGAATCTACAAATAGGTACTGAAACAGGAAATTAGTTCGACTGAAGATATAAGGATGTCCAAGAGAATACTTAAGATGAAAGTTTTTGAAAGCAACCTAAGATAATAAAATGGATTCTTTTCCATGAAACTGAAATGACTGCACAGGATAGAATAAAAGGGAGGACTAGAATGTTAGCATTATGTGATCTATAACAGCAGGATGATGAACTATTGTCTCTGGATTTACACAGCATATCTGACCTTTCGGGTTTCCAGCGCTGATATGCTGATCAAGCTCATTGTCTGTTGTGAGACTGTCTATCTGCCTAAAGATATTAGTGCTGGAACTCTTGGACACAACACCAGATCTCACAGATCTCAAAGACATTCTTGTGATGTAAGCATGCCAGGTAGGGTGGTGGCCACAGTTGCTTTCTCATGCCTGGAATGAACATTTTGCAAGACTGTTACATAGAACAAAAGTCACAATTCCTTATCACCACTGTCATATCACCTGCTCTATCAGATGGTATTCACAACTAAGGTTTTTTTTTTTTTTTTAGATGCTGTTCCATGGTATTCTCAGTCTATTCTGTCAATGAAATTTCTCCATGGCAAGTGCAGATGATCAGTGTCTAATACACCACCAAGAACAGAATTTACAACACCATATTGACTCCTTACATCAAGCCTGCACTAAGTATGACTTGAGAATAAACACTGCGAAAACTGAGGTAATGAGGATAGGCAAGAAACATAAAATCATGAACGTTCATTTTAACAGTACTACAATCGAACAAGTACGAGAATTCAAATATTTAGAAAGCACATTTACGGAAGATGGTAGACTCCAGAGAGAGATAGAAGTCAGAGTACAGAAGGCAAATGCTGTCACCTACCAGTTAGCCTCACTGCTTAGACACCCAAATATCTCCCTTCCAGCAAAACAGCAAATGATTAATAGCATCTTTATCCCTACTTTATGTTATAGGTGCCAAACATGGACAATGAACAGGACACCAGAACAGAAAACAACTACATGTGAAATGCACTGTCTCCGCAAGGTCACTAACAACACTGTACGAGAGAGGGTTACATATACCAGCATTAGAGAGAAAGTGTTATAAGACCATGTTTGGATTATGCTGACAGACAAACAATGAAATGGTTTGGCCATCTAGTGAGAATGCAACCAGACCAGACGACATATGAGACTTTTTACATTAGAACATCTGGGAGGAAGGTGAGAGGAAGACCAAGAAAGAGATGGATAAATGGTGTAGATGAAACCTGCACAAAATTGAACAAATCCATCCCCTTAAGCCACCCAAGAAGGCAACAGTGAGATGACAAAAGAAGTGGCACTTTTATGGATGTCTTATGCATTCAGTGGGTGTGTATACTACTGGCTTGGGAAGCGGTCACTGTGTAGTGGCTAGACACTTCGCATGTGGGTTTGAAACGTCCAGTCCTGACGCAGCTGGACTTTTTTTTTTCAAAAATGACCTTGGCTCCCGGGTCGACCCAGCCTTTAATGAGTCCTGGGAAGTAAAGGTAGTGGGTATTGTGCTGACCACATTCCCCACCAAGCGTCGACTGGTCTATAAAATATAGGTCTAGCCTCATATGTCCGATATGCCTGAAGGCACGGAGAAGGGTCCTTTAATGTTGCTTACTCTAACTACTGGCTTTGCTGTGACTGTTGTCTGTGTCAATTTTTTCACCAGTGATGTGACGGATATTCTGTGGTGTTTCTTGGCACAGGAACGGAGCTATTTTGGAGTGACCAGTTTTCTATGAAGTTGAAACTGATTTCCTCATTACCTCCATGCCAGACCAGTCTTTTCCCCTTTGGTGATCCACAGACCAGATTTAGCAGAACAAATTTAAGAGGTCCATGATATCATTTACAACAACAACTCTCAAATTTAGAATCAATCCTTTTTATCATTCTAATATTTACAAAATATAATAAGTTCTTCAGTATGACAATTAAAAGGTATGGGGTTAATCGTAGAACTCTGACAATAACAGGGATATGCCAGTCTTAGCTGACTGGGAAACATGGTCTCAGACTGTAAATCAGTGGCTGCAACTTTTTCAGGTGGTGGCATCCTTGAACACATGACGATACCCCCCACTACCATCAACATAACTAGATAAAGATACCATCGAGACGGCGGCCTCAGTTGAGCAAATACACAGGGGGCAGGAATGATTCGACAACCACAACAGCAGTTTCCATTAGGTCATTACCATATTAGGAAGAGAATGTCTGGTGAAAGGGTATGGCAGAAATATGGGTACAACAACTGTCAGATGAAAAGGCTGGGCTAGATGATGCAATAGAATACTTCAATGGTTCTGTTCATCGGAGGTGTAAGATTTGGCTGGGGATTTTCAGTTAGAATGAAGTGAAAGATTTTGGCAGAACAAAATGGAGCTTTCTTTATCTATAACTTCAAGCATGGGGATGGAGGTGAGAGGCAGCCACTGCAACTCTGATTTAGACAACAGAAATATGTCAGTGAGTGAATAATGTGAAGGCAAAAAACATGGTCCAAAGAGAATAGTGCAGGGAGGTGTGAACAGGAGATCTGGCTGATAAATGAACACCAAGGCAAAGGCAACACAGACCTACAATCAGATTGCTACTGGTACGATCAGAATTAGAATTCCGCACTGGCTGCTGAAGATGAGGACAGAGTGCTTATGTAAATTTCCTGAGTGCCTTTATGTCAGTTCTTAATTCAACTCAATTCATATACTAATTATAATTAAGAATGGTTAAACAAAACAAATACACAGGTTTCAGAAAGGTTGCGAATGAAAGGAGAATTAATCCATATAAATACAAATGTAACGTGTCTGTTTGTGCATAAGAGCTAATCTCTGAAAGTTCTTCACTAATTTATTTCAAATTTTGATACAACGTTGTATTCCAACTGGCGCATTATTTTTATATAAAAGCATGAACTACACAGCTCCAGCAACGATCATATCGGCATCTTGGGTTTGTTTTCTTCATGGCTGCATTCCCGGAGCGGGTTTTTATTTCCGTGAACTTTGACTGGTG